ACTTATGGACTCTAACCAGTATATCTCATTTTACACAAAACCCACTATGTGAAATTACAGATCATTTAAGTAGTGGTCATTTGCTTTACAAGAATTCTCAGTATAGAGTTTACTCATATTTAATTAGATTACGCATGGTAAATTCCAAATGTTTTAATTTAGTTTAAATATCATTTCTACATGCTAATTTTAGGAACAGATCTATTATTTGGTTTTGTCCCTGCTATGAATTATTTCAATGAAACTAAGTATTTAACTAAGGAGCCCTGGTGGTGTTCTGGTTAAAACAGCTTAGCTACTGACTGAAAGATAGGTGGTTGAAACCCACCAGCCACTTTGTGGGAGAAAGATGTGGCAGCCTGCTTCGGAAAAGATTATAGCGTGGAAACCCTGTGGAGCAGTTCTACTCTGTCCTATAGGGTCCCTATGAGTCAGAATAGACTCAATGGCAATGGGTTTTGGGTTAAGCATTTAACTTTAAAATCATTTTTAAATAGTTGATTAGATTTAACTCTGTTAAATCTTGAAAGTGAAATTGAGTTATTTGTAAAGAGTCTAACTGATATGGGAAGCATAACTACAAAGTAATGACAATACATAAATCTTACCAAAATTAGATTAAACTCCAAAGAGAGGTTCCACTTTGAGCACTTTCTTTAAGTCAATGTAATGCCTGAAAGGTTCAGAAACTCATTTGCTAACCAAACACGTTTAAAATGTGAATTTAACATTATTAATAGTGAAGTTAGCCAAATAGTTAAATATATTTTAACAGTTTTCTTGATTCTTTAAAAATGAGATTTGCTTTTAGAACTAACAATCTTCTCTTTGACTATGTTCTTTTATAGGAGCAAGACAGAAAGATGGACTACTCTTCTTTAATCTAAAAGTTGCATTGTAACAACTTTAAGAATTCACCTGAAAAACTTCCTCTACATTTATTATTTTTAGTTTGTGCTTCTTATAAACCAAGTGTGTTTAAGCTTCTAATATTTTCCTGAACAACCATATTAGGGCAGTTTGTGTTATTTTATTTTTACAAAGCTAATTGAATGGTTACATTTTTCCCCTTGTAAAACTATTTCTTTTTATACTTTAATACAGGATGTAAGCTATCTTTTCACCTCTCTCCCTCCTGCACTTGTGACTAGGCAAAAATCTCTTAAGTGTTCACATAGTTCAATCAAAACATACAACAGAATGGAATTGGTTCTGCTCTACTATTGTAAACCAAGTCAGCAAATTGATAATTTGGATCACAAATCTCCTTATTGGTTCTAGAAGTATATCAGGACTAGCTGGCAGAGCTGTAGCATGTATCTGGATTTTAAACATGATGAACTTACACTTTGAATTATATACCAGCCAAACCTAGTCATCCTGTTGGTTATGTTCTCCATGTTCTTTTATTGGGTTTGGCCTGATTTCAAATGTGATTGTGAAGAAGAGTGGTTTTAACTTTTGTGTTTTGTTTTAATTTTCTCACTTGTACAATGCCAAGACAGTATTTGTAGCCTTAAAATAGAATGGCTTAAAATACTAGAAATGCAGTGATTGCATTTAAAATTAATGTCTTAGTCTCAGAAAGGTATAATATATCTATTTCCCTTTAAGAATCCAATCTTTGTTACAAGTGTAGAACATTTTTTTTTTTCTTCCATAATTCTCCCCATAGTTGCATACTCCTGTCTTTCACAGACTGTTTGGAGTCTCAAGAGTGAACCGTTTGGGGCAGGACAGCGGAAGGTGAACGTATTTCAGTGGCTCTGAATCACTTTAGCCCTACCAGTACCCATAGTAGTAACCTGGAGTTATAAGCACTTACTCCTTATAAGGCAAATTTTAAGAGCTGTAGAGAATCCAATTTATGGAATTTTTCATTGATATTTAATTCTGCCTCAGTTGTAACCCAATTCTGAAGGTTGTTTTGGTGAGTGTTCACAGTGAGTCTTGAAGAGTTGATTCAATGGATAAATATTTAGTTTGTCATAATCAAAATGTTACGTTGATTTGTTTCTTAATTACTTTGTTAAATTAATAACTTGAAGGTTCTCCTCGGCTTTCTTTAAGGAATTTCCTTTTATTTACTTGTTCAAATATAAAGCATTCTGGTAATTTTAAAAGGGCATATTTTGATTTTAATTATCAGCAATATTTGGTTTCTGCTTAATAATTGCTTCTTGAAGCCACAGAATTACACGCTGTTCATGACAGAGGGTATAAGTATAAAACAATGAGACTTATTTTTGTAAGGTTTATTTACTCTCATTACTTTGTAGTTATGCTTCCCATATCAGTCAGACTCTTTACAAATAACTCAATTTCACTTTCAAGGCCTTCCTTAAAGGATTCTTACTCTAGAAAGAAGTTCTGTTGAGTAAAGGGAAAGGGTCACAATTCAATCATTGGCCTGTTGAACTATGAAATGTAGTTATAGTCTGTATGAAACACGTATGGAAAAGATGCCCTTGTGCTAGATTGTGGAAGGAAAGTGCTGTGCCTTTATCATAGAGCTCTTCTCAGCCGGATTCATCTACAGATCCACCCCAGGAGTTACTTAATTTTTCATAACTGGGAAACTTCTCTCATGGCCGTAGTGCTTCCTCTACTCATATAAACTGGATATGAAGCCACTTCATACTGAAACAAGAAAGTAGAATTCATTTCAGGGATCTCAAACCTGTAATACTCAAGTGGCACCATGATATCTCAAGTACTTGAACTTGTCTGGTGAAACTTATGTAAGATTTGGAATGGATGGTACCAGAACTCATGAGACAGGTGTAAAACAACGTGTGACTTTTACTTAGGTTTCATTTTACTTGGATGCACAATCAATGCCCATGGGAACAGCAGTCAAGAAATCAAATGATGTATTGCATTGAGCAAATCTGCTTCAAGAGGGCTCTTTACAGTGGTAAAAAGGAAAGATATCACTTTAAGGACTAAGGTGCGCTTGACCCAAGTATTTTCAGTCACCTCATACGCATGCAAAAGCTGGACAATGAATATGGAAGACCAAAGAAGAAATGATGCCTTGGAATTATGGTGTTGGTGAAGAATATTGAATATACCATGGACTGCCATAAGAACAAACAAATCTGTCTTGGAAGAAGTACAGCCAGAATGCTCCTTAGTAGCAAGGATGGTGAGACTTCATCTCACCTACTTTGGGCATGTTATCAGGAGGGATCAGTCCCTGGAGAAGGACTTCATGCTTGGTAAAGTAGAGGGTCAGTGAAAGAGAGGAAGACCCTCAATGAGATGGATTGACATAATGACTGCAAGGACGGGCTCAAGCACAGCAACGATTGTGAGGATGGCACAGGACTGCATAGCATTCATTCTGTTGTACGGGGGGTCACTATGAGTTGGAACTAACTCGATGGCACCTAACAATCTAACAACAAGTGGTCAACTGTTTACCAACTCTTCAAAAAGGCAAATACCTCCTTCCTTAGAAAATGTGGTGGAGTACTTATCTACAAAGACTCTGGTGGCCCCATAAGGTATTCATCAATATTTATCATCAGCAGATCTGAGCCTTAAGTTCTCACATTGAGGTCAACTAGGACAGAAACTGGGAAAAAAGGAGAACTTTTCATCTCAGAGAGGCCATATCCTCTGAGAAGTAGCCAAGGATGTAGTGAATGTCCAAGTGGTTAAAAACATAAAAGTAATGATCTATGAATACCACATCACCTATTGTTAATTTTATGGTTCTGTATTTCATCAAACCATACAAAGCTGCTAGGCCATTTACTACCTCAAGTGTTAGGGAGAGTATTTTCATAGGAATGAGGTAAATCTAAATCCTCAATTTTGTTGTTTTGTCATTTCTTGAGGTTGCACTGATATTTGAATGCAGTGGTTATGCCCTTCCTTCTTCAACCAAAGTTAAGTGGAATAAGAGTCTATGAAGCCTTCTGACCCATTAAATTATTACTCCAACAATGTCTTTTTAGCTACTGAACTTCCCCCTTATGTTTTATGTGCATAAATCTATTGATAAAGCATGGTGCCTTGAACTAGAATCTAATCAGAATTGCAGAGTCTAGTTTTTGCCATTTCCTCTCAGGCTTACAAGTGTGGCTTACTTTCCCAGAGCAACCAAAGGCATTGTGGGTAGAAACCTTGACCCATTTCCTTTTTTCTCTGTTGATAAAATGGTCAGGTTGAAATATGCCCCCATTTGAATTGTTTCTGGAAAACTGAACATGTTTGTAACCAATATGAATTTTTAGTTCACCAGAATATGTATTTTTAAAAGCATTCACTGACATTGCCCTCAGGGTTAAATGAGGCCCCAATATGCAGACAGTGGCTTAGTGAATAGGCTGTCTGTATTTCTGTTTATCGCTGAGTAAATAAGCTAAAACAAATGACAGTTTGACATCTTTATAGTAAATCTCAAATGTTAACATACATTTCAAATTCATCCTTATATCAGTAGTAAATATCTTTTTTTTCTTAATTTCTGATTTGATTTTATCATTCTTGCCTCTTAAAAAGATTTAATGCATTTTAATTGTTTTCATACTTTGTAGAAATGAAAGTCTGTGTTTGCTACAAACTGAATGCTCATGCTACCTGAAATAATATTTTGGACTGCAGGACAGTATTAATTCCTAAATAGATTGACTGTGGTCTCATAGTACGTATGTATATGGGCATGGGAAGACACATACAATAATAGTCTCTGTGTTTAAAAACTATCATGGTATACATTTTCCTATGTGGTGCTTGAGGAGTTTCATTCTACAGTTTACAAGGTGTAGGTTTGCACCCCCAAATTCTCAGGGTATACTATTTTACCCAAATACTTGAAAGAAAAAGGTGCCCTGTATTTTATCAGTACTGTTGAGGGGAAAAATTTCTGTGTAAGTTTGTTGTTTTAGAAAACTACTTATAAAGATCAAATTCATAAAATATGTTAGGCTTTTACATAATTTCTAAGATGATATATACATATATGTGGTATATATTTTCAGTAGATTGCTTATATATTCTTAACTCACTTCAGGGTCCTAAGCAGACTTCACGTGTGCATAAAATCATTAGCGAAGCATGTAGCATTTCCTAAATGGTGCCTTGGGTTTGAATCTAGTCAGAATTTCAGAGTCTCATCTTCTGGGGGGAAAAAAGTGTCCATCTATGACACATGTGATTACTAGGTGCAGGTGAAGATTCTGAAAAATGAACTTGTTTGTGTGCCCCGTGTTCCAGAATAAAACTGAACCTTAACATTTGTAAGCTGTTAATATTTAGTGTTTCATGTTGCAACTATACCACATCATTGGATTCCTGTTTAATTCATAATGGTGCAGAATTAAAAACACACACACAGAGTTCTAATTTGATTTTTTTTTTTCTTTTTTTAAGTTGCATAAGTGCTTTCACAAGCTAGTGGTAATGGCAAAAAGCCTTTCCCAGGGCTCCCTGAAAATAATGTACCATTCTTGGATCGATTTCCTAGCAAGCGGTCCTTTCTTTTCCTCCCCACTCTGAAGATGTGGGTTTCTATATTTACTTATAACTCATATGATGTACAGTAAAGACAGTGGTGGTTGAAAAGAATGTGAAGACTGTGGAAGTTAGGTATGAATAAAGTAGAGTAAATTGTGTGATAAATGAGAAGGACATTGAATAATGCTGAATTTTATCCCTGACTATGGAAAAATGTCAGAGGTAAATGAAAAGAATGTAAACATTTAAACTACTCTCAACATAGAATTCTTGGTGGAAACATTCTGGCCTGAGGTCTGATGTGATTATATTATAGAATGCAGTGAGCTTGGCCAAGGTGGATTTCGAATTTAGCCTAACAGTTCTGAGAATTGCATTATCAGTGTATCGCATATGGAGAAAACTATTTAGACAAGTATTCTATGAGACTAGCCTAAAACCAAAACCAAACTCACTGCCGTCGAGTCAATTGTGACTCATAGCAACCCTATAGAACAGAGTGGAACTGCCCCGTAGGGTTTCCAAGGCTATAATAAATCTATATCTGAACTGCCGACTTTTCGGTTAGCAGCTGAGCGCTTAACCAATGCTCCACCTACTTGCCTTTAATGGCCAGCATTTGCAAACGATTGTGCAATCTTGTGTAATGATCTTTTATTTTGACTGTTTTGAAAGGTTGTTTTTTTCCATTAAAAGTAACTGCGAAGAAAACATGCATTGTTTGTCATTATTTTAAATTAAAAAAAAAAAAAACAAGCTTTGGGTATTCTCACTTTCTTTTGGCATCTAGTTTAAATGCTTCCTTTAACTAAAATACTCTTTATTAGAGTCACTGGTGGTTCAGCGGTAGAACTCTTGCCTTCCATATGGCAGACCTGAGTTCGATTTGCACAGCCACCACCCATCTGTCAGTGGAGGCTTGCGTGTTGCTATGATGCTGAATAGGTTTCAGCGGAGCTTCTAGACTAAGACAGACAAGGAAAAAAGGCTTGGCAATCTACTTCCAAAATTCAACCAATGAAAACCCTATAGATCACAACAGTCCTATGTGTACCCTATCATGGGGATGGTATAGGATGATGCAGCATTTTCCTTGTTGTACATGAAGACATCACGAGTCGGGGGCTGACTCGGCAGCAGCAAACAACAACTCTTTGTTACTGTTTCACATACAGGTAATGTTAGTTTTCTATAGCTGCCATAACAAATTACTCCAAACTTACTGGCTTAAAACAACACAAACTTACGATCTTATAGTTCCGGAGGTGAGAAATCTGGTCTGGGTGTCACCGGAGAATTTCACCCAGTGAACCTAAGGAATCTGATCACTTGTGTCATTAAGCAGCATTGTGAGGAGAACCCACCAATGTGTGTGATGCTATGTTGACCCCAAAGAGCAACCGAGACAATAAAAGCCATGGAGGCCTGTAATAGTAATTTGGATTATTCCCTTCAAAAACTACATATAAGAGGGCACGTATTTTGGAGACCTACTGAATAATGAGATTCAACGCTGTAACTTGTCTCTTAAGTCAATCACTAATCACCTGATGTAACTATAAACCTTAAGTTGTAGGGCAAGAAAGAAAGTTGAGGGAGGTTCCAGGCATTTCCTAAGTTACTTCTGGCTTCCAGCTCTTGTTCCAGTGAATTAACTCTCAAACACTACTCTCCATTTTGCCTCCATGAGTGCTGTTCTTCCCTATGTTTTATTGCCCCACCAGCTTTCATTAAGCACACCCACCCAATCCTGAGTATTCCAGACTCAAGGCTATAGGTATGGCAGGATTTTGCTGAAGATGTAGGATAAATGGGGTGGAGATTAGGAGGTGGTCTATAACATGGCATCCAGCTGCATTAGCAAGCAGTTTAAACCAGAGCCATTGACTTCCTTGTTCTTTGATAGTCCCATTTGATCACTAGATAATTTGCACTTGTTAAAGCCATTTGTCCTCTAGCCATTCTTCCTATTGTCAGAGCCCTTTTCCTTATTTCACCCTCTACATCCTCTGCTCCCTAACTTGCGGACTCCCAACCCTCCAGTTTCCTGTTAATTCTTACGTGGAGCAATTTAATCACCTAATGATGCCTTGCTAGTGCAGACCCACTAAGCTATGTCCAGAAGAGCTCCCCTTCATAACCAAGCATGCCCATTGTTCTAGTCATGTAGTGCTGTGTAACAGTGCACCCCAAAACTTGTTGTCAGCTGCTGTCGAGTCGGCCCCTGGCTCATTGTGACCCTATGTGTTACAGAACTGCTCCAGTGGATTTTCTTTGGCTGTAATCTTTATGGAAGCAGTTCCCCAGGCCTTTCTTCTGCAGAGCTACTGGCTGGGTTTGAATCACCAACTTTTAGGTTAGTAGCCAATTACAAACCACTTGCACCACACAGGCTCCTCCCCAAAACTGTTGCTTAAAACAACAAACATCATATGGGTAGCTCATGAATCTGTAATTTAGGCAGGACTCTGGAACACTGGCTCTGCTTCATACAGCAGCTCAACTGGGAACTGCAGGATCCACTTCCAAGGTGGCTCATTCACATGACTGTCACTTTGATGTTGGTTTTTGGCTGGGACTACAGCCAGGAGCTTCAGTGCCTCTTCATGTGGGTCTCTCCATACACTACTTGGGCTTCCTTAAAACATGGGGCTGTGTTCTAACAGTGAATATCCTAAGAGACAGAATGAAGATGCTGCCAGTTTCTTAAAACCTAGCTCAAAAACTGACACAGCATCACTTTCACCATACTCTATTTGACAAGCAGTCACAGAGCCCAGATTCAACAGGAAGGAACAGAGACCCTGGCTCTCATTGGGAAGAATGTCAACGAATTTGGGGAGCATGTTTTAAAACCACCATACTCATTAAGGTATGTTTTTAAACAGATACATTTTTCAAGAGAATTCGGAGGTCATCTAGCTTACACTGCATTAGGTAGGCACAGCCAAACATTCTAGCAAGAATCTAGAATTTAGAAAATACAAAGTTTGGTTGGAATGCTTTTTGGTGTATTGGATAACATGTCGAAGTCTGGTAGGGCAGAAATCACTGTTGCACCTCCAGTGTTAAGGGAACCGATTTTCTTCGGGAAAGAAAGAGTGGCTGTTATATGTCAGGTGCTCTGATTCATGAGAGGTTAGGATTTCAGGAAGCTTTAAATACAGTGGGAATGTCTGATATGCTGATGAAGCTCTCTAGTCTAAGCCTTGCCAAAAGCATGGAGACTGAAAGAGGAAACTGGCTAAGGGCCACAACAAAGATCCATGTCAATGACCCAGCATGGGGTGGGCAGAGCAGCAAAGAGAACTAGGTGTGAAGAGAACCAGGAAAAGCAGGGCAACAGCAAGAGCCTGAAAGGAAAGAAGCTATCCAGTTGTGCAGGGTTCAGGGAAGCTGCTGAAAGGCAATAAGAGAGGAGTGTGGGGAGAAGCAGCATGATCAAAGCCCTTTGACAGAGAGGTGATCCAACAGAAATGGGATGAAAAGATAGTCATTGAAACACATAGCAAAAACTAAAATTTTTTTCTGCCTCTTGAAGTTATTTCCACATTAGCAGATGGTCCATGGTATGGTATATCTCCAAAAGCTTATATACCTTCAGATTCGATTCAAGTCGTATGTGCCTAGGTTCGAAACTCACTTCTACCCCTTACCATCAAGTAATTTTGCTTCTACAAGCCTCCATCATTTTTTTCTGTAAAATATGTTTAATAATAATATATTACAGTATTATCATATATATATTATACACATTCGATCTAGTATGTGCAGTATTATATATATATGCTATAATATTGAAGCCCTGGTAGCACAGTGGTTGAGTGCACGGCTGCTGAGAAGTCGGTGGTTTGAACTCACCAGCGGCTCCACGGGAGAAAGATGTGGCCGTCTGTTTCCATAAAGATTTCAGCCTTAGAAACCCTATGGGGCAGTTCTACTCTGTCCTATAGGGTCACTACGAGTCAGAATCAACTTGACAGCAATGGGTTTGGGCCTGGGCATAGTATATTATTCGACATTATATATATTATTAGAATGTGAGAATTGTAATGAGACAATATGTATTAAACTCCTAGCCTGTAGTTAGCATTCAAGAAATATTAACTACTACTGTATACCTCTCCGTTACAGCATTTCTGCTTCGGAAAATTTCAAATTCACTGCTTTATAGGTTGCTTAAAAATATTGAATCTATTTATTGGGATACCTTCTATTTATAACAATAATAATACAAACTCATTTAAATAAATTAGGAAAATACTGAAATATTTTAAAATATGAAAAAAAATTCTTAATCACTCAGAGATACCCACTATACAAATTGCCTCTAGAAAATAAGTGTTCATAAATATATTTAATATTTTAAATGCTATTTTGCATTCTACTTTTTTTGCTTCACCATATTATAAACCTACCTCCTTATCTTCCAATATTCTTAGAGGACATGACTTTCAATGACTTTATTTCCTCACATGGCCATACCATAATATGTTTAACCAATCTCTTAGTTTTAAGCATTTAGTTTTTATAGTTTTGAGCTATCAAAATGATGCTTCAATGAGCGTCTTTGACTATAAATCTTGGTAAGCATCTCTGATTATTTCCTTGAGATAAACTCCTCCTAAGCAGAATTACTGAATAAATGACATGTGCATTCTTAAGACTTTCAACATATGGGATTTTGAGATATCCCTTGCCTCCTCCCACTCCTTCCCCTCTCCCCCAACACACCTAAGTTGTCAATTCTTTAGAAATAGTCTACGCTAATGAGGAGCTACCATGCAAACACCCCACTTAGAAGCCTCATATTTTAGCACTTCGCTTGTTTCAAATTAACATGATGGTGGAGGAATGAGAGGCTCCTTGTGATTTGTAGAACTATATATTTCACAGCAGACAGTACAAACTTGCTCTCATACCTTTTAGAGTTTTTTCCTAGTTTACAGTTTTCCTGTGATTTTAGAGTCTTTCTTATTCTCAGGGTCAAATTGCTATAGAGTCGGACTCTCGAAGCGTGGGAACCAGACCAGTAGCATCAGCTTCATGTGGGAAAATTTTTTTCAGTACAAGTTCTCAGCCTCCTTCAGCTGAATTGGAAATTTGGGGGATGGGGGCAACAATCTCGGTTTTAACAAATCCTCCAGGTGCTTCTGGTGCTTGTTCTAATTTTGGCCAGAGAGCACAGACAATCACTGGTTGGCTGCTTTTCTGGAAGGAAGCAGAAGACAGGTCGTCCTGAAGAGAGAACTTTGCTCGTGACCCACCATGTTAGGGCACTAGTCCCCAAAGAGATATTCCCTCAGCAACCCTCATTTCCTCAATGATAAAATAATGGAGACAGTACATGCCTATCTCTCAGGGGTTTTGTGAGCATTTTAAAAAGATGGCGCTTGTGCTCGCTTTAGCAGCACATACACTAAAATTTGAGCCATACAGAGAAGACTAGCTGGACCCTGTGCAAGGATGACACGTGAATTCATGAAGCGTTCCATATTTTTTTCCTGAATGAGAAACTAATTTGCTCTGTAGACTTTCACCTAAATCACACGCACACGCACACACACACACACACACACACACACAAAAGACGGTGCTTAAGAAATATCGCTTCTCTTCTTTTTTGGCAAAGTTAATCTAGCCCGAGTTTTGACCCTTTATTTTTTTCTTTTGAGCAAAGTGTAACAGCACTATACCAAGAAGAGAGAATAAATTGCTTTTCTATAGAAGCTCTGACTGAAATCTTTTCCCTTCAAATATCCTTTGGTCACCCTGAAAGCAGTTCAAGTTGTGAACACCCTGGCAATCATAGAGAGTAGCTCGATAGTTACTGGCCATTTACCATGTCCTGCATGGAGGATACGAAGAACATGCCCTGTGCTTGAAAAGCTCACACTTTATCTGGGAAGATATTTACATAACAAAAGTAAATTTAAAAACAAACAAAACAAAACAAGGCAACAGAGAAGGACACTCATCAAAGCTGGTGTGGTTAATTCCCAAGTAGCTGGTTGTTATGGATTGAACTGTGTCTCCCAAATATATGTATCAGCTTAACTAGACCAGTATTCCCAGTATTGTGTGGTTGTCCACCATTTTGTGGTCTGATGTGATTATCCTATATGTTGTAAATCCTGAGCGCTATGATGTTAATGAAGCAGGATTAGAGGTAGTTATATTAATAAGGTAGAACTCAAACTACAGGATTAGATTGTATCTTGAGTCAATCTCTTTTGGGATATAAAACAGAGAATTGAGCAGATGAGTCAGGAGTGGACCTTTAGACCTGGGGTCCCTGCACTGAGACCAGGGGAAGATTGATGACAAGGACCTTTCCCCAGGATTGACAGAGAGAGAAAGCTTTCTCTGGGAGCTGGTGCCCTAAATTCAGACTTCTAGCCTCCTAAACTGTGAAATAATAAATTTCTGGTTGGTAAAGCCATCCACATCTGGTATTTCTGTTATAGCAGCACTAGATAACTAAGACAGTGGTCTATGTAATAAACATACCTGGGAAGCAGGGATCTCAACAGATGGCAGCTTCTACGTGGAGGAAATATGATGGGAGCTGGAAGGGATGAGAGCAGATAACCTGAAACAGAGTGTAAGTCTGTTTGGGAACCTGTGTGTTGCCAGGGCAGGCGGGGGTATATGAAGCTGGAATGCAATGTTGAACTGACTGTGGAGAGAGTACTGAATTCTAAGCTTAGGAGCTCAGACTTGATGTTGGGCAGGTAGCACACTACAATGGTTAAGTGCTTGAAATTAGGCAGACTTCTAGGTTAAATCCTGGCTCTGCCCTTTACCATCTGTGAGACTTTGTACCAGTCATTTAATCTGTGTTTCAGTTTTCCATGCAAAAAGAGTATATAGTAGTAGTTCCTACTTTATGTGGTGTTATGAGAATTAAATTATTTAATACCCTTAAAGCACCAACAGCAGTGCATGGCACCTAACAAGCTCAGAATAAAGTATTTGATAAATAAATAATCAAGGTAGAGGGAGATTTTGGAAGACTCTGGTTAAGCAGCAACAATTTTAATTCTTGGAAGTTATCTGCTCATCCACGTGCTTTATATTCAATTCACCAAGAACCCCCTCCGCCCCCAGATATCATTAAAAGGCTAATGTCTTCTTTCCTAATTAAGGAATATAGTAGAACCTCTACACCTTTAAGCATGTGTAGCTCAACAATTTGAAATCTTCATCTTACACTGAAATTTTTACTCCATGACTGTGTTTACATGATTAATCTTCAGACAAACTGAGTGGGAGAAGGATAAATAAAAGTGGGAATAGAGTACCCAGAAATAAAATGGAGGTGCCTGACTTTCACTAACAAAAGGAACCACGTAATTAAAGCCTAAAACCTGTTCTGGAAAGACAATGCCCAAACTTTTATATGTAATCCTAGAAGATTATGGCAGGAATCTTTCTAGTAAAAATAGAAGGGTGAAAATAGCCTGCAGGTTTCTGTGATGTTCCAAGTCAACTGTGAATAAATTAAACTTTGATTACTAGGCGGGTAGCCAAGGATTACTAATGTCATCCTAGATAAAAAAAAATAATCCCAGGATGGAAGGCAAATGATTAGCTGAAGTACCTCAAATGATGTCATTTCATTGACCTAAATGTTGCTATTCTTTTCTAATCTCATCAAATCGGATTCGCAATTGCACAGAGGCTCTCTGAGAATGCTACTGCACGCTCCAGCTGAAGCTAACAGACTCCATTTAAGGGTTTTAGATGTTATGAATATAAAGGAAGCTGATACATAGCCAAGAAAAGAGGCTGATTCTGGTTAAGTAGTAAAACTAAAAAAAAAACCAAACCAGTTGCCATCGGATAGATTCCGACTCATAGCACCCCTATAGGACAGAGTAGAATAGCCCCATAGGGTTTCCAAGAAGCTGCTGGTGGATTCGAACTGCTGGCCTTTTGGTTAGCAGCCAAACACTTAACCACGGCCCCACCAGGGCCCTGGTTAAGTAGTAGCTGAGTAAAACCAAAAACCCAAACCCGTTGCTGTCCAGTTGATTCCAGCTTATAGCAACCCTACAAGACAGAGTAGAACTGCCCAATAGGGTTGCCAAGGAGCGGCTGGTTGTAGCTGGGGTAGAGGTAAAGAAATCATTTGGCTTGGCTCAAATGTCATCTGCTTGATGAAGTTTTATCTGTGCCCACATTATGTTCCTTTAGGATTTTGAACACATTTCTTTTACAGCATTTATACCATGTGTCCACACAAAAATTTACACCTGAATGTTCATAGCAGCATTCTTCATAATAGCTAAAATATGGAAACTACTCAAATGTTCATCAACTGAAGAATGGATAAAATGAGGTATATCCATACAATGGAATATTACTGAGACATAAGAAAGAATAAAGTACTGATACATGCTACAACATAGATGAATCTGGAAAACATTGTTAAGTAAAAGAGGCCAGTCATGAAAGACCATATGTTATATTATTCCATTTGCATGAAATGTAAGAATAGGCAAATCTATAGAAATAGAAAGAAAGTTAGTGGCAGCCTAGGGCTTGGAGATGGGAAGATTTCGAAGTGATTACTATGGGTTTTTTTTTGGGAGGGGTGATGCAAATGCTCTAAAATTGATTGTGGTGATAGCTGTGCAACTCTGAATATACTAAAAAATATTGAATTGTACATTTTAAATGGATGAACTGTATGACATGTGAATTATATCTCAATAAAGCTGTTACCAAAAAAATACACATTTGTTATTGCACATTTAGGCCTGCCTCCAGGGATGAAGAACCCTTCATGGAAGAAGGTGCACTTGGCATAGAGAAAAACAAGAGTCTATGAGTGGGCAAGGGCCTCTGATAGCATCAGAGAAAGAAGCTCAAGAACCGCAGAGAAAGACAATGACTCTCACAACTTTGTAATATAGCTTAAAGCTTTGTAGCTGCTGTCCAATGTTTTGTCATTTTCATTACTTACTGTCTGTATTCTCTTGGCAGCAAAATCCTTAAAACCAAAAAAATCTGGGAAGTGTGGTATAGTAGGTGTAGGAAGTAGGTTCTGGAATGACACTACCTATGTTTGAGTCCTGGTTCTACCATTTTCTAGCTGAGAAAACCTTAGGCAAGTTAAATGTCTCCTCTGCCTCAGTTTCTCCAACTGTTAATTGTACTATACAATATGGTAGCCACTAGCCATATGTGGCTATTAAGCACTTGAAATGTGGCTAGTCCAAACTGAGATGTACTATATATACAAAATGCACATCAGATTTTGAAGATCTAATCCTCTATGCAAATGTAATATACCCCATTAATTGTTTATGTTAGTCGCATGCTAATATGATAATATTCTTGATATCTTGGGTTAAATAAAATACCATGTTAAAGCTAATTTCATTTATTTCAGTTTACTTTTTTAAAGTGATTACTAGAAATTTAAAGTTACTATGAGGCGCATATATTTCTATTGGACAGTGCTGACTTATAATATAGGAATAATAATTCTACCTACTAAACACGGGTGTCGTGAGAATTAAATGATTAAATACTTGGCACATAATAAGCAGTCAGTAAGTGTTAGCTCTTACAATATTTTTTATTAGTCAGGTTCAGAGGGTGGTCAGGCTCAGAGAAGACGAGCTTGTCATGGGCAGAACCCCAACAAGTGACGCAGAGTGACAGTGCACTTCACAGAAGAAAGCAAACCAGACTAAATCCTCACAGCTCGAGGGAAACAGCTGACTGGGCAGAGGTGTGGCCCGTGGATTAAGGTCAGGGGACCCATGCAGTTCCCAGACAAACACCTTTGTAGAAGGCAAAGCTGGTTTGGACACCCATTTGTAACCGTGAAGTGGATGGTCAGAGCCAGAGGACTGCAAGTGAGGTTTACAGTTGTATTTCTGGCTCCAATGTCTCAGTTCAAAATGTGGAATACTACTCCATCCCTCTTAAATTTCTATCTTGTTTGTCTATGAAGGAGTTAATGTTTGTCCTATGTTTCAGGTTTCTTGTTCCTTTGGAACATGTAAGAATTCCTAAGTAATATTTATTGATCCATATTCTCGAGATAGGAGTCCTTAGGTGGCGCAAACAGTTAAGCACTTGACTATTGGTCAAAAGGTTGGTGATTCAAACTCACCCACAGGCACCTTGGAAGACAGGCCTGGCAATCTGCTTCCAAAAGGTTACAAACTTGAAAACCCTCTGAAGCAGTTCTACTCTGCACACATGGGGTTGCCGTGAGTTAAGGTTGACTGGATGTCAGCTAACAACAACAACAATACTCTCCAAAAGGGTAGCAGATGATGCCACAACCTGTGATTCCCTCCCCGCTCTGGCTTTTGGGTCCCTCTTCCCTTTTCACTAACTTAACAGTAAGTAAGTGTCTAGTTCACAGATTTATGAAAATGGAGTCAAAGCTTGTTTTCAAGCTCACAGATCCTTAGAAGTCCTGTCTGCTGCTATTGTCAGTGACCCATTTTCCGGAAGGCTCTGGGCTGATCTGACCTCCTATCCTGGGAATCTGGCCAGGTCTGCAGAGCTGCAGAGGCTTATATGTGTCTGGGCTCAGAAAGTGGCAGGAAAAGAGAAATATGGTGTTTGAATTAATGAAAGACAAAAGGAATACAATAGGATTTCCACATATTTATTTCATTGCATTTCATTCTCAATTTACAACCAATGGTGTGCTATCTAAATTTTATATTTTATGTATGTGGACAAATGAGCACCTGTTATTGGATTTATTGCTTTAAACACATGTGTCTGTTTAATAATAAATATTTGAAAATATTTGAAATGGCTCCTTTAGTTTGTACAAATAAAGAAATTCTTTTCTGTTTTGCAGAAATCCATATCCATCAGTTTCTTGAAGCAGTATTAAATTACCTAGGTGATTCTGGCTATTCTGCAGATTGTAGTCAAATAGACTACAGCTTCCACCATAAAACAAATGAGGCAGAAATAAAATGATGACTATAGGGAGATGTCCCTTCTAAAGGACAGTGTACCACATCACAGTCTCAAAGAGACACAGAACAGGAGAAATCAAATGGAGTTTCTGAAATTAATTTTTTTTAACACCTATGTGTTATTGTTGTAGGGCTGGAGGAAAAGGATGGAATAGCTTCCTTCTAGAAACCTGACTACATGGGCCATAGAAAAATGAGAATAGTATGTCTTAATTCTGCGTGCCTTCTACCTTAATGTTTAACGAAATTAACAATAACATATATAAATACTAATTCTTGAAACTGACTGACCAAAGTCTTTAAAAAGTCTCTTCCCCACCCCTATCCCCACAAAAGAAGAAAAAAAAATAGCCTGTTTTTTCCTGATTAGGCAACATGTTTGGTAGAAGGCAAGTCACGTTTAATGTTCTATCAAAAAATGTCTTCATACACATTGACTGAAAATTGTTGAAGCAAAATTGGCTTCTCTTGAGCGTTTTTTTGTTTTTGTTTTTTTACAAACAATATTTTGTTCTTAGAGCAGAACTATTCTTGCTGTACCAAACGGGGTTTGAGAGCGGTACAAGAAAAGTACAAATGTTGTTAGAAGTGTCACATATGTTGACTCAAAATGACATTCTAGGTAGTATATGAATAGTCCCAAATTTTATCCTTTGAAGTTTTTCGTAACTTTTTACAAAACTCTTAAATACAGGTAAATATGTAAACACAGTGCTCTCAGAGAGCAAGTACTTAGACGCTTCACAGGATATCCCTTCCAGGGAGACAGACGGAAGTGAAATGTCACCGATCAGGTTCAAAACCAACCATTTGAAGTACTCTCTGGTTCAGGGGCAAACACCACTTTACACATCTCAGAGTTCTCTTGATGGAGTGGGAATTCGGATCCTGCTACTAGCCTTTCTTTTCTTCTCCGAGAGACATAACCTTTGCCTGTGGACAGCCTTTCATACTTTGTCTCGAATTGCCTATATAAGAACAACAACAACAGCAACAAAATTATACATATATTAAAGTCACCCCACACCTGTCTGATTCAAGTTGAGTGTACTTTGAAGCTTCTTTTTCAAATCAATTTGAGATAAAATATAAGTGTCAAAGATTACCAGCTTCCATTTCCATGAATGAGGTGATTTTCTTCTTCCCATTTCTGTTTATACTAACAGATACACTTCAAATGCCTGGAATATCAAAGTCCGTTTTTCCTTAATGGAGGACTGAATTCCTTTAAGCTCTTTGGAGATGCTGTTAAGCTTTGCAGGCCTTGCTATGTCTCCCGTCCCTCATTCCAGAAGCCCCACCTTGGGAACACTTCCCTTTTGAGCAAGTACCAAGTCCAGCTGGACTTAAGCTGAGAATGCTGACAGGGAAACATTCCCAGAATTCTGGCCCAAGTAAAATATGGAACCAAACCAGACAGCCATGTGGCTGGGTTGGTGTTCACTGCATTTTGATCACTGGGAGTTTGTTTTTTGAAATATATATTTTTAATGTTTTTCTTAGAATAATTAGTATAAGTTAGTGACAGTTTAATACTCAAACTATAGCCTACAATCTCTTATGCTATAAAAATATAACTTAGTCATAT